ACGGATCATACGATTTTAAAATCGACGCTGAAATCTCCAATTGGTAAAAATCTGAAAACTAAAAACGTCGCGCGTAAAAGTGATTTAAGGATTCTCAAAAAGGAGACTCGTTCCTCTAAGAGACCAACGAGATTTGGAAGTTCCATTGAAAGCAAACACAGATCTACGAAAATTCAATCACCAGCGTGCAAGCGGCGATTGTTTGAATCCGATTCAGAGAAAGAGGTTCAAGAAGAACGGCCAAAATTGAGTTGCACAAAAGCGCGGAAGGATGAAAATTGTTCTTTCGTAAATATAAGATTTCGTAAAGACGAAACAGCCTCAAACATAAGGTCTTCCAAAAGTCTCGATCGCGACATTGCAAAAGAATCGGAAGAAACGTTTACGTTTTCCGTGAAACCGTTGCGGTCCATCGAGGATATTCGGAAATTGATCGATAACGAACGAAATAAATCAGTCACTACGGAAGAATCGAGGTCAGCGATTGCAAATCAGCGTTCGGCCTCGCGAGAGAATGTCGATGCGAAGAGATCGAGTCCCGCAATCGATGCAGCAAAAAACAGGACCGATCCCGCGAGGCTGACTAAAATTAAATCCTGTGTATCCAGGATCACGAAGAGCCCGAGTCCCGATTTAGCTACGACAAAACAGCGCGAAATGAATGCGCGAACGACAAGAGGAAGCACTCCTTCATCCCCCTCAAAAAGTCCTGATGTTGCCCCTACGGTGAGTACAATTAAAAAAAAATCACTGATCACTTAATCTTCCGAAGCTGATGCCAAAATTTGTAATACTGGGTTTGTAAAACCCACTTAACGGATGCTAATTAAAAGATATTAATTAATTTCAAGGAATCAAAATGACATAATTTATATAAAAAAGGATGAATATTAAGTATATTTTAATAAAAATAATCCTTTGCAGATATATAAGAAAATTGAATTGTTTGACAAAGATTTTTAGGATTAAGTGGGGTTCAATAGTCGAAGGATTAAATCAATTAAATCATTAAAAATTGCCTTGTAATGAAGGTAATCTTATAACATCCTATTCCCTTTTTTTCATTTATTTAAATACTTTTATTTTTACCTGTTATTTTTTTTGTCTCTTATCTATTATATATACAGTAAAACGCAACTTTTATTCATTATAGGCTATTAAATTTTTCTACAGATTAACTATTTTCGTTAAATTGTAATCATGAAAATAGAATCAGCGTGCAGAATCGAGGAATCAAGAAGCGAAACCTTCAAGAAGATCAACAAAAGATGCAAATTCGAGCAGGAGTAAAGTAACCGGAACGATCGATACAGTTGACGGCATCGTTCTCCAAAACGGTTCACCGAACGAATCCACAAAGAAATCCGACGCCTTCATGGTCGACTTCGACGATCGATCATCGAAAGAAGACGATACGATGCCGAAAAAATCACCGATGAAGAAATCTTCTAACGACGTAAGAGTGATTTTTTTTCTTTTGCCAAAACTCGATACACGAATGTTTTTTATTTTATTGTTTTTATTGCATGAGCCAATTGATGCTGTGTGAAATAATCCATTTTTAGATTTTCGTATCGTGAAATTGATCGCTACAAATACAATAACGTAAAATATAGCTTACTTCATATTGCTCTCTTGTATAAATCAAATTAAAATCCACACAAGTCTAAAAACGTTCTTTAATATTAACACATATGTTAATATTAAATTTTATATATTTTAAATGAATTAGCAATGAGAACATCAGTCTGGCGCAAAACGAATATTAATCGTATTTCTATAATCTTCTCACGGTCATGCAATTTATTTCCCAAACAATTGCAATCAGAGTCAATTGGCAGATATGATCTGCCAAAAAATCAGAAGAAAACTCGCATATTAATTGCTGAATTCGGGAGAAAGAACTCATGAGGGCAATTAATAAATTTAAATTAAATTATACAAGGTATAATTATGTTAACCTAAATTTTTATTTCGCCATTGAAAAATGAATCATTCGATTAAAAAATGTTTACATAATGTGTACGTTTTAGGGTGTATTCAAATATAAATTCAAATATAAAAATATATACAGATATATATATTTTTATGCAATTTATATTTGTTCAATTTATACAGGCAATCTATTTATTTACAGAAGCAACAGACAGCTTCCAGTGCTTCAGGCCGGCCGACCTCATCGAATTCCAGTGTTAACTTAATTCAAGATTCCAGTGCGAAAAGTAGAATGGAAAGTGAAAGAGGGAAAGGAATAGGGAAAGGAGCAGGTAAAAGTAGAAGTAAAACTATAGAAAAACCTTCTTCCAGTAATGGTAAATTTACAAACTCGGCAAGTTTCAACGAAGATGCAATTAACATGTAAGTTTTTACAGTAATCTCTATATGTTTTATTAGAAAATAATAATTTATGTCAAATAAAAGTATGTATAAATTATCAATTAAAATTATAATTTTTATAATTTATACTTGTGCCAGAGAAAAAAATGCCACTTTGATAAGCAGTAGTAACAATTATGAAACGTGAACATGACTTTATTTTTACAGAATTTAATATAATTTCTATTATAAAATATTAAAAAGAAATAAAAACTTTCGTAAAAACTTTCGTATTATTTCTTAATATTAAATACAGACGTAAAGATTAATTATTAAAATTATTCGCGTTATTAATTGGTGATAGGAAAGGCTTGCTAAAGTGTAAAACATGCGGACGTAGCTTCGCACAGAATCGAATCAATCTTCACGAAGAGATCTGCATGAAAACGACAACCAAGAAGAGGAAGCAGTTCGATCCGGTGATGAATCGAGTCAGAGGAACCGAACTCGAGCCTTTCGTTAAGAAAGGCTTCACTAAACGAGAGGTCGGTATCAAGAAATAGAATTTCTTCGAAAAGAACCGATGACTGAAAGTTATAATTTTTCGATATAATATCAGTAATATCAAATTTTAATAACATAAAACGAATTAGTTCAATGAATTATCCAATTTATTTCGCGAAAATCGAAACTCGATTCGATCCAAGCTTGTTTTCTTCGAGGAGGATAACAGCATTTATACGCTTTTTTTATTCTGTTTTCAGACGAAAACGAAGAAGTCGGAAACCAAACCGGACTGGCGGCGCAAGCACGAGGAATTTATCAACGCGATCCGCTACGCAAGGGAGACGCAGGCACGTTTGGCGGCAGGTGAAAATTTGAGCAATCTGCCGCCACCACCGCCCACTGATACCAGCGATTACATCCAGTGCGAGCACTGCGGCAGGAAGTTCAATTCGTCCGCCGCGGAGCGGCACATTCCGATTTGCAAGCGTATGCATGACAAGAAGCAAACGCAAGCGAGGACGAGACGCTAAAGAGGAAGTCGCGGCGAACACTCAGGCTTTTCCCAGCCTCTCCGCAAAGAAAATCTTATACTTCTAAATAGCATTCACTTTTTTTAAGCAATTCTCTTCCCCTCGTTCCTTTTCCGATTTACAAATGTAACGCTCCCTTCCGTCTCGTACGCGAATCGCGATCTTACTCCATTTCGAAATTTTCGTCTGCTTCACGCCTATAATATTGAAACATAAATAAAAGATTCGATAGAAAATTTGAAGAACTTGTTTTTACATTATTTCAAATTTTATTAAGAACAGCACAGAAATAGATTCATTGATTGGAACGTAATTACATGATTTGCAATGCTATGACATTTATTGAAACGAGTGAAGCAAACGAAAATAATATTAATAATAAAAAAGATTATCTATTATTATAGATTATGTGAACTAACGGCATGTCGTAATTGGTCGATAAATTCGAAGTGATCGAATATGACAGCAATAATTATTGATATTTAAAGTCAAATAAGTATGCCGCTGACGAATATCGCTTTTTATTTGTGATGTTGTTATCGCCTAAGCTGGAGCTTTGAATAACTATCGATAAAATTTTTTATCAAATGAATTTTTGTACTCATTTCATAATTAAATGCATTTTTATAACCGCAAGGATATTATACACAAATAAAGATGTAAAAAGATGCGACGATATAATGTACATGAAGGAAATATATTATATATAGCACGAATATGAGGGTGAGCAAAAATCGTAATTTTTTTCGTAACACATAAGACAATGAATTATACGATTCTATTTTAAATTTCAATCGATCACTTAATTCTCAAAAAAATTAAAAACATCACTAATTATTTTATTTACATAATGATATTATATTCTACAGTGTTGTAATTAGAGAAATTACGATTTAATATCTTAGATTTTTTTATTTCTATTTATTTAACAAAAAATGTCGCTTTTTTAAATTAGATTAAAATTAAATTTTCTTTTATTTATTATAAAGTTTATAGTAAAATAGTGTGTGAATGGACAACGTATTACATTTTTTAATACAACTTTCAAGATTTGTAACACTCAACTTTTCTTAAATTATATTTCTATCTATTTTCTCAGATAGTAGAAATCTATATATATTACATTCTCTAATATAATTTTCAAATTTCATAATAAATATGTCTTTAATTTTCAAGATTTGTGACAATCTTTTTTTTTTAATTTTACATATTATAATTATCAAATCTCACGCAAATGAATAATTTGAATAATCTTATCTCTTTTCATTATTAAAACATTACGAAAATACAATACAATACACTCATAAAGTACCTTCGATGACATTTTTTATGTACTAGATTATAACCTACATTCTCTAATAAAAATTTTTCTCAGAATTTTTATATAAATTTTAGAATTTTTTAGAACTTTTAAATAATTTTATAACTTTTTAAAGAATTTCTCAGATTTTTTCGCGTAGGAGTTTCAGGAAGAAAATTTCGATCAGATATCGAAAATAGTAAGGAAAGAAAAATGCGACGAACAATTCAAATCTGCGTGTCTTGTTCGCGATTTGCGATACATCGCGATACATCGAAGACACACGAGTACGGCGACGAGCCAATCGAAATAGTCCACGAAAAGTCGCTTGTCAGCGACCGGGATGCCGCCAGCGCATCTGGGCTGAACGTCAGAGCGGTCGGAGCATTGTGCGGAGGTGGTGTAGCGTGCTCGTTCACCTCGCTGTGACTTTCGGCGGATGTGAATAACTTCTGGTGCAATGTCTCGAGTCGCTTGTACAATCCACGGAATAATGTCGAGGCTCTTAGGTAAGTCACGTGCGTACGTTTCGCCGAATTATCAGCGCAGGACGCCGGTTATCGGAGACATTGGTAGCTTTTGACGTTGCCACGAATTCCGGTGATATCGCTGGAGTTCTGTGTGAACGGCATCGCAACAAGTGTCTCCTCGAGACCCATTCCGCGAGAGAAACGTCACCATGCTCCCACGCAACCTGTCCGCGTATCTTAAATAGCGTTTAAATACATAAATTTGGATATGCGTCCTTCTATGGATCATACATCTTGTTTGCATACTTTTTTCCTTGCAGGTGTCCTTCTGCTAGTCGCTGGAGCGAACTGCATGTACGCGTCCAATTCAGCTGTCGTTGATCTTAGGCCAAATAATTTTGATAATTTAGTGTTAAATAGTGATCACATCTGGGTGGTTGAATTTTATGCGCCATGGTGTGGACACTGTCAACAGTTGACGCCAGAGTATGACAAAGCAGCTACTGCATTAAAGGTGACTCCTATTTATATGATTCATATTTAATTTTTCTATATAAATATATACACAAAGCATACATGTGAACATATGTACATATATCTTTAAATAATATTAAGTAAATCAATCAGGAAATGTTCAACATAAATGAGCAAAGAAGGCAATATCCAATCAAAGCAGATCTTGGTGCCTAATAATATTTTGTATTTAATTTTGCAGTTTTATTTGAACTAAAAATAATAAAATTTGCACAAAATAATAAGCACCAAAATTTTTCTTTACAGCTTTTTTTATTCATTTGTTACATATCTTTAACTTATCCTAACAGGGTGTTGTAAAAGTTGGCGCGGTAAATGCTGACGAACACAAATCTCTGGGAAGCAAATACGGTGTTCGTGGTTTCCCAACAATCAAGATATTCGGACTTGACAAAAAGCCGGAAGACTATAATGGTCCGAGAAGTGCAGCTGGCATTGTCGATGCTGCGTTAAATGCTGCCAGTCAAAAAGTTCGAAAAGTGTTAGGTGGTAAAACTTCAGGAGGTGAATCAAAGGTAAATTATATTATAATTCGAATATGAAACTCTAAATTTTTTACGAAGCGTATTGAAATAGAGTATATGATTTTATATGTAAATAAAAAAGATAATTTCTTGGCATGCAAATTATTAAATAGTATTTATTTATAGAGCAAAGATTCCAAAGATGTGATAGAATTGACGGACGAGAACTTCGACAAGACTGTTTTAAATTCTGAAGATATGTGGCTAGTCGAATTCTACGCTCCTTGGTGCGGCCATTGCAAGAATCTAGCGCCCGAGTGGGCAACAGCAGCTACCGAGCTAAAAGGCAAAGTCAAACTGGGAGCTTTGGATGCCACTGTAAACACGTTGAAAGTGAGATACATGCCTTACTAAATATTTTCTTGTAATGCGATTGATGTGATACACTTGATCTAACGCATATAATATTGCAGGCAAGTAAATACGAGATCAAAGGCTATCCCACCATTAAATTCTTCGCACCGGGCAAGAAGGATGCTGACTCGATGCAAGACTATGACGGCGGTCGCACAAGCGGTGATATCGTTAACTGGGCGCTCGAGAAATTAGCCGAAAATATCCCGGCGCCGGAAGTGGTGCAAATCACTTCCGAGAAGAAGCTGAGAGCAGCATGCGAAGACAAACCGATCTGTGTGGTTTCCGTTCTGCCACATATTCTGGACTGTCAGTCCGATTGTAGAAATGGATATTTGAAAACTCTAAGTACTCTCGGTGAAAAATACAAAAAGAAGATGTGGGGGTACGCATTAAATTTGCGTATATGTTACTTTTAAAATGATTCGTAACTGTTCCTTTTTTTTCATGCTTTGGACATGATTCTGAAATCAATCGGTGTTTTTTTTATTTTTCAATTTTTATTGCAAAATTTATTTTACGGTAAATTATAACTAGATAAAAAAGCACGTCAAACAATAGGATATTGATAAAAAGATCTTTTATAATTTAATTTTTCTAAGAAGTTATGATCAAGTTTTTTCGTATGAATTCCAATATGTTAATTATTTTCACAAAATGTTCTACTTTTAGTACAAGTGTCTATGTAAGTCTCCACGATTATTAGTTTGTAATCTGATTGTTATATATTCATAAAGCGATAAGATATAATTCGCAAACAATTAGTACCAAATAAAGATAATTACATTTCTACTCTGGATTTGAGTCCTTCAAAATTCTGTAATTGGTGAGATATAACTGATTTGCGAATTATATCTTATCGCCTTACATTATACAATTTTCGTTATTTTACTAATAACCACGGAAGCTCACATTTTACTTATACTGGATTTATTCTTAGAGTCACAAATACTATTAATTTAATTTATTTTAATTATTTTGCTTCTTGTACAGATGGGTCTGGGCTGAAGCTGGTGCTCAACCGCACATCGAGGATGCATTAGAGATTGGAGGTTTCGGTTACCCCGCGTTAGCAGCCGTTAACATCAAGAAAATGAAATATTCCTTATTAAAAGGTAGTTTCTCATACGATGGAATAAATGAATTTCTACGAGATCTAAGTTACGGTAGAGGTGGCACTGCGCCCTTGAAAGGTGCTCAATTGCCTGTTATCATTGAAACAACGCCTTGGGATGGTAAAGATGCTGAACCTCCACAGGAAGAGGAGATTGATCTCAGCGATGTTAATCTAGATGATAAAGACGAGCTATAACTTACTGAAAGCCAACCAGCTGAATTCTTCTTAGAAGGATTTACCGCACACAACGTATATCGTTTCTAATAAAAAAATCTAATTAAGGGCGTTAATCGCGAATCGGCATACAAGTCACACTCGCCCAAAAATTTATTTTGTATTGTCAGACTTAACATCTATACATATATATTATATACTTAATAAGAATCTACATCGATTAATTTCGTAATGAAATTAATGATAATTAAATAATTCCATTAATCAATGGTTTTTGTATAATAACATCAGTATATATATATATATATATATATATATATATATCATCATTTGTCGCTCTGTGTATCCTAAGGAAGAACAGTTCTCAGGTGCAGTTGTCTAGTTTTATAAAAAAAAAAACGCGTTTAAGTAATTCTTCCATCCGAAAACCAATTTTATACGGTTTTTTGTGTTGCATTTAGGAGAAGCAAACTAGTTTAGATCCTTGTCATAAAACGTGCGCTTGTAATTCATATTGTTTGCATTGTTCTCCATATGTTTTGATAGGAAAAAGGTAGAACAGTTTGAAGTACTCGCTCCGTGTATCATGATGCATTTATTAGCCTGCTTACTTTTGTAAAAGTAGGTTGTTTAAGATATACATAGTTTGTGTAAAAAAAAAGTCCTATTTGTAATAAATATATATCATACATTTACAAGTATATTATTTCTACAGAGGTCATTTTTGTGAGTACAATTTTATGAGTAAGTTTATACATACTGATAGCACAAGAAAAAACTTTTTAGCAAAGCTATTAATTGCTTTTTCCCTATAACAGTATCAAATTTGGAGATTATAAAAATCTATTATTGTGATCAGTCTATTATTGTGATCTATTAATATAAACATAGTGTTAAGTAGAGACTGATTTTTTTTTTCTTATGTTAACAATTCTGCAGTCTATTACTGCTGATCATGTTTGATCCTAATCCTTTGCCTACTCTAATTTCAATTAGCATAACTCTATGGTGTTTCAGCCTGGAGTAACAGCTTAAAACCATTTTTAAGATGTTCAAGTTGCTTGTAACGAAAATGGAATCGCACAATGATATGCTGTCTTTTGTTATGTAAATGAAATTCTGTAAATGCTACATCAAAGAAAATCTTATTGAAGCTTTGTAGCATTGTCGAATTTCATACGAAAAAGAGTAAAAAAAGTTGTTAAACTTTTCCATAGTATTATTGTACAATTAATTGAATTTCACACAAAAAAGATGACATCACAAATTTGATTAAGGATAATATAATTTATGTCTTAAGTTGATACTGGACATGCCAGTTGAAAAAAGATTAAGATCAAACATGGTCACTAGTAATAGACTGTAGAATTGCTAATATGAGGAAAAAAGTCAATCTTATTACTAAATAGGGACACTATGTTACATTAATATCGTCTAATAAAAAAACGAATATACTTTCTTGCAGTCTTTCAGAGTCTCAATCACAAGCAAAATGTTGTATGTTGTATACTATTTAATCTACTTATATAAACGATTATATTGGAAAAAATTTCTAAATTTTTAGTTAGAAATTTTTAGACACTTAACGTATCTCCATTTTTAACATGTCACAAGATAACTTTTAATTTATAAGTTCAGTCTTTTTTCATATAACTGGTACATAAATGCAATAAAAATAAAATTATTTCCATATCTATTGCTGTAAATACTTATAAAATTTATAAAAATTCATTTCATTATTGCATATATAAGATAGTATGAAAACACAATGATCTCAATCTTAATATTTTTCTACTCTAAAAGATTTTATGGCAGTGTTAAGTTATATAAGACTTAATTGCTTTAAACTCTTACAAAAATATTACCCTCACTTAGATTACAATTCTGAGTGAAAATGTAACTGTACTTGTAAAATAAATGTCTGTGGTCGATATTCATAATCCATTCTTATTTCAAGACTGTCTTAAGTAATATCTTGAGACTTTATATGGCTTTCCGATTAGTCCGTGACATCTTAAGACTATACTTAAGACAGTCTTAAATATAAGAACTATGAATACCGATCTAAGTTACGTTTTCTTTTCAGGTCTATCGTTTTAATGGTGCATCATTTGATATGTCATTTGATACATCATTTGATTCACAAAATGCTCTCAATGGACGTGGTACATTGTTAACATTAACGTTGTCACTAACAGTGGACACAGAGTTAACATCTGCTAATTCTATGATGTCATAACTTGTATCCTTTTTGCATATATATGGATACAATAGAAAGATGTAGTAAGTTATCGTACTGAATATGATAGCGCCTATAATTATTCCGATGATACCCCAGGCTGATACAATCATTTTCCGACCTGGAAGCGGTTGTGATTGATTTTTATTCGCTGCTAATTCTGTTAATTTCTGATTCGTCTTGTAATGCTTGGTATTCTGCTTGGAACCGTATAATCCGCTTTCGACTTCATGGAGTATTACTGTAAATAATTTTATTGTCAAATATCAGGAACAATAATGTGGCGGAGAGATATGTTTGATTTTGAACAAAAAATAAGAGTAACATACTGATAACGCGGTTGTGATAAGGAGCGGAGCAAACTCCAAAGTTTTAAGAAATTTATCTGGAACTAAACTTAATACTTACCGAGAACGGAGATAATGGCTAAAAAATATATTGTCCTCATAATATCCGCAGTAATCAGTCTTTCAGATGATTTGTGTCAAAGATAAAGTGTCTTAGGATTTTATTAATAGAGTGGATAAGGACAATTATTCACGTTGTTAAGAATGTTCAAGAATGTTTTGACTTGATGTGATCCATGAAAATGAAAGTCAGAAAGTCACTCTTTATCTATGCGCATCTAAAATCTGTTCTACACTTGCACGAGTGCAGTTGTAAGCGGTTGTAATTGTAAAAATTCGCCAATCATTGCTGAATATGAAGAGAATATTTGATTGGTTAATTCTTACAACCGTAACCACGTACGCAATATAGAACGAGCTTAAGGGCTCATTCACATAGCCTGTATAAAGTCTGTACCAGACTAGAGATAAATGAAATTTAACCAATCATAAAAAACCAATCTCAAGTTTAGTGAACTTTGCTTTGATTGGTCAGAGAGAGACCTGTAAAAGCAACATGAGAAGGCACCTTTATTTCTAGGATTCTACTCGTCACGCGATAGAGACTAGAGAAATAAACAGCAACAAATAATAATAGCTGTAGATATGGCGTCGATGATGTGTATCCTTCCACTTTTCAATCGCAACCCTCTGTTGTGCGCTATAAATTTATTGGGATACGGCGTAAGTATATGTTTGAACGATAAATTTTTCATAACCTTTAACTATGTATCTGTATAAATTTATTGTGATTGTAGATTTATATCATTTATTGAGATAAACAACTGATCAAGTCACAGGCTATTCAGCTATTGTATTTGAAATCAATTAACATAAGCCTAATTATGTCGTGTTTTCTCTGTGCAGCTACAAGAAGTACGAAACTATGTCGGCTGCAGGGTATTGCGCGACCAAAAACGTAGAAGATGGGCTAAAGAGTATGCAGAGGAAAGATTGCGATTGGTTGCCTTGAAGCGTAACGATATTTTGCCAATCGAGATAAAAGTAAGAAGATTTCACTTGTAAAATAATAAATCTTGTTTTAATTACACATTTAGAGAATATAAAATTGATAACGTAAAAATTTTCTTGTATCATATTGCTTGTCGTCAATGCATTTTTATATACAACTTATCTATTTATATAATTCTCTGTTATTTGAATGATATTATCTTTTTTATGCAGAAAACTTCAAAAACTATATTTTTTTTCATTTTTCAAATAAGAGAACAATGCTATCTTTTTGTTGTATAATAATGTAGTAATATATGAGACAACTCAAACCACATAATTCTTTTAGGAACTTGTTGGCAAACAAATAGATAAAACAATTCCTAGACAGACTGCTTTGAGACAATTGACACCAAGATGTGTTGTAACATCTCGAGGCCGAGGTACGATACAACGATGGAGAATATCACGATTCATCTTTCGTCATCTAGTCGATTATAATAAAATGGCTGGAGTGCAACGTGCCATGTGGTAGAACAATACACCTTATATATCACTTGTATATTGTGTATAAATGGATACTAATGAAAAATAAATGATACACAAATGAATGTATGAATAGAATTTAAATTACCAAATAAATCATGTGTTTCCCTTGATTTTATTAATATTGAGGTTTCTGCTCTATTTCTATCAAGTTATTCTATTAGGTGTTGGAATTAATTCGTAGCGTTTTACAAGTGATGGGAAGTACTTTCATTAATGTATTTTTTAATGCTCATGTGAAATAAATAACATTCTTTCATTAAAAAACGCTACGAATTAATTCCAACACCTAATATTAAGTCAGAAACGCGAAGTCATGAAATTTCTTCCATATACAATATACATCAAATTAATTTTTCTTGTACTATCTTGTACATTTGTATAGATTGGTAAGATGTATTAGGTGTTGGAATTAATTCGTAGCGTTTTACAAGTGATGGGAAGTACTTTCATTAATGTATTTTTTAATGCTCATGTGAAATAAATAACATTCTTTCATTAAAAAACGCTACGAATTAATTCCAACACCTAATATGATGTCGAGAATTTTTTTTACTTGATATATTATTATGTGTATAGAATCGAAAAAAATCTTAGTTATTTATTATTTCATTTTTGATACTGAAATATGAGACAATAAATTGTGCGTGTGTCCAAAAAAGATTAAGAACAATGCATTATATACTAGAGATTTTGTCTTATGCGATTCTACCATCTAAAAGTACAAACAATCAGTTTCTGTAGGAATTTTTAATTAAATTCTAATTTTTAAAAAGTGTTACAAATTGTTAAAGCTGCAAATTATTGTGAGCCCAAGTAAAAATGTCAATTGCACAATAGTCGTATAACATTTTAAGTTGCATTATTCATTTTTCTCTGCTTGTGGCAACTTTCAACGTTAAATATTAATATATGAAATTATTATATTTATGTGATAGAGTACTTACAATCCCTTCATATAATAAAACGCATTTTCACAATTTTGGCGCTTATAATGTCTTATGGTACATCTCAATTAATTTGATCAGGCGACGAATTAATTAGCTACAGAAAACTTAACGCACTAATTGTCAAGCACATATTAAATAATATGAAAGTTTTATTGATTGAACTGTTAATCGTACGGCTTGCATGAAAATTGACATTTATACGAACTGAGAATATCACGAACATGCTTTTCTATTTAATGAATGATGCATATGACGTCTCAATCATTCGGCATTATATCGATTATTATATGTATGTTTTTTCGTGAAGAAATCGATTCGCGGACATGCCACGTGTAAATAGTTCTCGCTCTGTTTTTCTTCGTTACTCCTCATTTATTAGTACATTTCTCATAACTGTTTGCTGGGACAAGCTGCATCTCTGAATATTTTATTCAGACTAACGCTTCTAACTCGCTTTCGCATGACCGTTTATCTCGTCTCATCGCGAAATGTAAATACAACTAATACGATACATACTTATCAAAAAATTGTAAAATGCTGCAGATTAGACAAATTAAAAATAGTGATTGTAAGGCGAAGTACATTGACACGAAGAATATGTGACGGTCAGAATGTGTGACGGTCTTATTATGAAGCCATTAATTAAATTATCCTATTAAAATTCACATAAATAATTTTACTTTACACAAATATTTTGACTATAATAAGCGTATCGTCATCAAACTCCTGATAGAGGACATAAAACATTTTATACAATAATAAACATAGTAAACAGATAACAATAAATATATTCATTTATTCAATTTATATTTAATCAGTTTCACTTGGGTTATTTAAAAGAATTTTAAATTTTTAGAAATAAAGAGTCAAAATTTAAATATATTCCAATTTTATAATATTCCGTTTTGATAACGGAATCACACATTAATTAATAATAATTCATTTTAAAACTTAATTTGCAAGGTGTAGTAAATCATGCAAATATAAATAATCAAAACAAATAGTAGCTTGTGATTTAAGTCGCAAAAAAAGTAAAGCAAACAATCAATACGATTGGTATCGTACACGTGCATTTTATTCTCAGCAAAGCGTCACTTAAACTCCGCATAAGTGGTATAGACGACTATCTGATCGGACATGCGTCGCGCAATTCCGCATATAATCTTGCTTCAGGCCAATCTTTGCTCGCTAGTGCACATCAGGGACATTCGAGTGGTAGATTCAGATGCGACCATCACGAAAACTCATCTGTTTTATATCCACATTTGCATCTTTCTCCGGATGGCATTCATGCATGGTAACAAGAATTACGAAGAGCAAGGTTTTATGTAGGTACATTACAATTCCTGTTCCTGATTCCTAACGCGCAAAAGTTTCGTTTCCGGATAGCTTTAAATTAAAAAATAATTAAAAATTAAAAATTAAAAAGATAATTATAATTAAAGATTAAAAAGAAGAGATAAATTATTTTTTTGTTTTTTTTTTATTTTTCGCACTTATTACATCCTGAAATATTTTTCAAAGTATATTTAGCAATCGAAAATAGAACTAAATAAATAGTTCTCAAGTATTTTGTTAATATTGCAAATTTAGAGAACTAAAGAATTTATTTGATGTTGTGAGAAATTAAAAATAAAAATATTATATAATTCTAATTTACAAATATGTATATTATAATTTTTATTTTTTACGAAATATGTGTTTTATAATTTTTATTTTATACAAATGTTATTATATTTTTCTTTTAAAGCTTAAATAAATATCAATCGAAAATTTTGCTTTTTAATGAGCACAGATGATTTAAGTTTAGCCATGTATGTATGTATACATTAATGTACACATTAATTTAAAAAATTAAATTATTAATTATTTACACATAATTTGATAATTAAAATATCTTGATATTTCCACAGTTACATGTTAATAGATCTGTAATTACGAACACACATTAAATAGCTCAATATAAAAGAAATTGCGCTGTAAAAAAATCATCATTTACGACATCGAATTAAGATTAATAAACGATTAATATTTCAAAATTTATATATTAATATCTGTAGCTATAAACAGATATCACGCAACTCGATATAAAAGAAATTGCGTTGTAAAAATGATTATCATTTACGACATCGAATTGAAATTAATAATAAACGATTAATAAGAATCAACTTGCATTGAGACTAGTTAATACAATAGTTTCAATGAAAAAAAGAAACAAGAATTTATATAAACTATATCTGAACAACATTTAACATTCATGAAGCATTTCGCAAAATAACAATGTAGAAAGGTCTCTGCATACATCATCACTGACTAACATAAAGACAAAAGCATAAAATAATAATATATTTTTTATAGTTTTGTATTATATCTCTTTTTTTGATTTTTTTAAAAGAAAAAAATAAGAGAAGAGCTACACTATCGTGTCTACTTTATTGAATATTACATTTCTTAAATAAGTATAATTCTCGAGAAGTAGTAACTCTCAGATAAAAGCATGTTTACGGCTCATAAGCTTTGATATTAATGTCAAATTTAATAAATATTTTTTATTATATCTTAATATCTTTATAATCTCAAAATGTATATATCTAAATTTTATATAATTTATGAATAAGTGTATTATAATTTTTCTTATAATTTATTTTATTTTATTTTAACATATTTTATTAAATTTTATTTTAAGTCTCAATGAAGTGGATGAGCATAAAAATGTTTATACATATAATATCAATATCTGGCATCACAATGAAGAAAACTCGATGTGTTGGGTTTTATTAGATCTTTTGAAATGTGGACGTATACATTTTTTTTGGAAAGAGGCAAATTTTATC